TTTCCAAATCAATCTGTCATCTTCTATTTAATAATTTGGATACAATCTTGATAATATTTGTCTCATTCATTTCACAGATGGACAGTGAAATGAATGAGGTTCAGCATATGGTCCAAGTCAGCCAAGTCGATAAGGATAGCAGCAGATTCACAGTCAAAGGAAATAGTGGAATCGCAGTGGAATCTATTCTCGTATGTATACAAAAACTAAAAAATAATAAATTAAATTTGATTTATAGTATCCTGAGCTGTCAGAAAAATGTATCACCAGAATATGTTTGTTTATGTGTGTAAAATTGTAGGCAGAGCGCGTCATGGCAATGCGATGCGAATATAATGAAACCTTACACCCTTTTGACGCTTTGCCTCATGGAATCAATTTTTCCTGCATCCGTTTTCCCCCGGTTTTCGAGAAACGGCAAGTCGGAAATAATTCGTTTACGATATATCATCACATCTCCATTTATATTACAAACACGCATTGGCACGGAAAAAAAGAGATACGTTCCAACGAAACATCCCAATACGCGATTGGACCGGAAAATTTTACTATCCTCCTTTCTACATCAAAAAAAAAATCGTAAACCGCGATGAAACTTGAGTTTTCATTAGGAGGATTTATTGCGAGGATGGAAGTGAAGTGCATCGTACTTACGTAACGAATATTTACTGCATTTCCTCTGTTAATTATTTTTTTGCTTCGGAGCTCGAAGATTAAAAAATGTAAAATGAGTAAGGGAACGCATGTATATTTTGTACAATTTCAATTTAGCAGAAGCCTCCTTAATCATTATCACTACGGTATATATATGTTAAAAATCAAGTTTCAGAGTAATCTTATTTAGAACGTCTCCCGCCAGGATTCGTTTGATCCGAATAAATGTAATTAAAAGTCTTCAGGATCTCCACTTTTATTTATTCCATTAAAATCCTAAAAACGCACCCCTCGGCAATTTATCACAATTTATTTTATAATTAATTCAGCTATATTAAAACGGTCATTCGTCACAATTTTAATAACTTTTTTTTTCATCATCTTTTTCATTTACACCAGAAATTTATATATGAAAAATATGGAATTTTTTAAATGTGCAAATAAGTTATTAAGACATGATAGATCGCCAACTACCATCATGTAATTACAATTTTTATTGTTTTTCTTCTTTATCTGCATATAAATATTATATTTTGAACTGATTTTAGTTTAGGTATAAACTCTATTTAACTTTAATACAATTTTACTGTTTAATTTAACTTTTTATAATTTTCCGATAAATCAAACGAATTGGGAAATCTTAACTTTAGATATTATATAATTATAGTTTTACGTTTATATAATTAATTATTATTTAGATATAAACTATTTCTATAAACGTTTATGAATTCACTTCATTAGTAAGATGAGAATAAACATCTTTAGTTAACTTTATTTTATTTATTTCTTATGCCTCAGGCAATTACATGGAAACCACTGCTCATTACTGCTACTTCTGCTTGAGAAACCGTTAAACCGCTTTTACTCTCAATAGCATTCAAATATCAAACAAATTCTATACAATTAGTGTTTTAATGGCACCTAGTAATATTTTCGTATAGACCATTCAAAAGTATGGAAGTATTGTAAAGGCGTCAATTTGTTTCTTATTAAATATGTTTTCAATCACTATAATTATTATTCTTAAACTTTGGAAGAAAAACACATTTTATAAATTAATTTTGTTATTAATAACAACTTTAATGCAGTCAATTATAATCTTATACGTTTTATAACTTTCACATCTTAATAGTCTGATATTGTGATTGGATTCTGCGGCGTATCTAAGCTGCAATCACGCACACCAATTACAGATAATGGTTTGTATCAAAACTAGGTAATGCGATCTAAGTGCAATAAAATACCGAGTTTTCGTTTAATTTTGAAAAGGAATTACAGAGGAGAACTAAACGGATTATGCACTATAGCGGCTTTAGCAATTAAAACGCAGATCGATAAAAGTATTTTAATGAGAAAACCACTATAAATTTACTTATTAATCTCTTTCCGAGAACAATATAATATTTATGTTAGCATTTAAAATTAGTCTAAAAATGAACTATTTGTTGAGACTTAAGATTTATTGACAATTATTACACTTTAAATTAATCTGAATGAATAATTTACAACATTGTCATTAAATTTAATATAACTTAGATGTGAATAAATATTGCTCCAGGGGCCGTTAAATCGCTTTTACTGTCAAGAATATTCAGAAAAAAGAAAAAATCTTTAAAAGTAGTTTTTTTTATCAAAAGTACGAAAATATTTTATGGTAGGGATAGTCACAGGGTTATATGGGCTCTAGGCCCAGGGCACCAGCATTTTGTGGGCGGAAATGTTGCTTCCCCTCACGTGTATTTTCTTATGAACGTATGGACGTATTATTCTTAGTAGCCCACTAGCGCTAAATATCTTAAGATGACCCTGGGGATAGTAAAATATGTTCTATTATGTAATAAAGAAGTAACATTAGATTTACATGTTAAAACTCTATTGAACTAATTCCTAATTGTATATAGTGAAACTTGTAGTAAATACGTTATATAGTTACGTTACTTAATATACAGTGGAACTTCGCTTAACGAGTTTAATCCGATCCAAAATTTCCGGATTTTGACTCGTATAGTGAAATACTTGTATAGTAAAACATATTCAAAAAATACACATATGTGTACACAAGTTTTAAAAATGGCGTAACAGGCGCGCAATCTGGGACTTCTCTTCTCATCGTCACTCGTTATGCAAAATGTCGCTCGTTTCGCTAGTGTGCTCGTTAAGTGAGGTTCTACTGTATTCTAAATATTTATGTAATTTTCTGATTTTTGAAAGTAAAATCATGAGTATATTTACTGCAGTCAATTATAATGTTATGCGTTTTACTGTGTATCCAATTTCGAATTACAACTTTCACATCTTAATACTCTGGTATTGTAATTGGATTTTGAAATGTATCTAAGCTACAATCTCGCACAACAATTACAGATAATGGTTTGTACTAAAACTAGTTCAGTGTCTTTTCGTTTAATTTTGCAAAGGACTTACGGACGATATCTAAATAGACTAAATGCGATAAATGAGAAAACGTATACTTTTCAAATAATCAGTTTCTATGATTGTTATTGGGTTCGAAAAATTATAATAAAAGTTTTTTAATGGTTATAATTTAATTTAAATTAATTTAAAGTTAGAACTAAATTTATTATATAAATTAGAATAATATGTTGAAGTTAATTAGAAAGAATGGCTAGATAGAAGTAAATTGGTTGGAACTAATTATGAATCAACAATGGTAGATTGTAGTAAAATGAAAAGAGACTGTATTCGTTGAAATGGAAGAAACAAATTGAATGCGGAAGAGCGCGGTTAAAATGTTTAATGAATGCAAATTGTAGAAGGGTTGTAGAAGGCGCAGAAAACCGATAGTCGTATGTTACGTGTCCGCTTTGACCATTTCTCCACGTTTAGGGAAATTTTCCGCTCCAGATTACAATGGTTTTAATTTCGATAGCGTGAATGAAATGGTGGAGGAAATTGAAACTTTCTCGAGCAAAATCTGTCTGAATAATATTTTAGAGAGAGGTTCTGCAATTAGGAGAAGTCAAGAACGCTTCGTTGGACTTTTCTTAATTGCATTCTAGTTAAATTACATAAAAAAACTACTAGTGGCAATTATTTTGTCTAATTTATTTAATTATAATATTAATTACATACAAACTCATTATTTTAAATATTATCATGAAGTAATACCACAATTAACGAATAGAATTTGTTTTTTCATTGTTTAAACAAAACTTTGTTTTCAGAGGAAAATATATATAATTCGTTACTTTATAAATAAAATAATTCACTTAATGAAGAATGATAATAATAATGTAATTGTTTCAATAAACATTTAGTAGTAAAGACAAAGTTTAAATAAGGTATTAAGATTACTTTTTTCTACGTTTAAAACATAAAATTGATATTTGAAATAAATTTTGTGCTATTATTAATTTTTTGTAACCTATACTTGTGCATCTCTTTTTTCTTAAATTTTGAATAATTAATTAAGGAAAATTGTTTCTCATTTCAAAATTAACGTTTGCTTGGTTAATTTGATTCCCCAGAGTAATCGGGGTAAGAGCTAAAGGATGAATTAAGGTGCGGCGAATTCATTAATTTTATATCGAGTTACCGCTTAAAATCTTAAATTTCTATTTAATGTACTCAAACATTAAGAACGGTTCGAAGAGTTATTCTCGTATTAGGCAGGCCTAAATGTTAATTTGTAATGGAGACAATGCAATTTAAGAAATTAATATGCATTTGGGAATACCAGCAATGTAATTCTCTATAATTTGATTTTTAATAGAAATAAATAATTTAATATAATTTTTAACTATTGTTAGATGCACACCAATTCTATAATGATTTTTTTAAGTAAACGGGTCCAAAATTAGGAAAGAAATTTTATATTAGTCATAAGTAATTAAAGCAATACCTCCGGAAACCGGACTAACGAGGACTTTAAAACTGCTCAAAAAGGACGAAACCGGACTATTTATATAAAACTGGATTGTTGTTAATTAGTTTATCTTTTGAGTTAACATACTTTAATTATGAATAATTTTATTAATGAACATATTAAATAGAGTAATTAAATTTGATAATTAAAAAACATGAAGTAAATGAATATGAAAATGTTTTTAACACTTTTCTATTAATTTTGTTAATTATTAAAATACCTAAACAATTGGTTCTAAAAATATATGTAAGTAATTTCGTTTGCAACAATACCTCGTATAGTCCGGCTTCGATCAGTGCGGATTTACTATAGTAGTTTACTCCGGTTTATCGGAAAAATGCGGACTATGCGAGTATTCGTTTCTTTTCTCGTAACCTTTTGTTAATCTTATATTAAAATTGATGTTTCGTGTTAAACAGCATATTTTGTGTGTATATGTGTTTTATATTCAACGGCTTACCGAAAAAGCAAAGGCAGAAGACGATGGTGTATATGGAGATGAAAAAGATTCTGACGTAGATATTATCAAAAATGTATACATCCTCTTTAGCCAGAACGAAAATTGTGCTGTTGTCGGTGGAATTATCCATACTTTCCTGATCGAGATCCATGTTCTTTTTTTCCTCTCTTTCTCTCTTATATTCTTATATTCTCCGTTGACGTCTTCTTCGCTGAAGGGGGATGGAAACTAGGCCTTTTGGTTGATTTGATATGTCCCTTTCATTACGTTATTCATACATATTTGTACTATGGATTTGTAGGGTTCTGAAAAAAAAAGGAGAAAATGTAAATATACATATAGTTAGTGACACCTTTTTCTCAATTTATTTAAATTCATAATTGAATAAAGAAGGAAAGAAAACTTCGATAAAATAGAAGAGATTCCACGTAACTGAACTAAGCATTAATCTTCATTAGTCTATAAATCAATAGAGCGAAGCCGCAGTCTGATAATGCTCCAAAGTTCATCTTCTATATAAGACAAACATTTAACCATAAATTCAGATCGATGTTGCCATAAATCAACAAAATTAACTTAAAAAAGTGATAATATAGTCGGGTATTAAAGGGTTAATCCATTAAATTCTTTGTTTGAAACATAATGCAAATGTACATTTTCGTCGCACGTTCCGCGTTTAATGTGTAGAATTAGAGTTTAATGTATTGTAGTACAACGTACAAAGTATGTAAATAATATAACTATTAAAACTCACTCCCGTGACGGGTTTAAATAAAGTTCACGACATCCATTCCATTTGTGCGGTTATTTTATAAAGTGGAAAGTTTATAAAGACATCAATTTCTTATACATATATAAAATGAATCCACTTAAGCTATAAACCTACTTACATTTTACATTGAAATTAATGTGTCTATTATTGCTTCTCTATTATATTAGTGTAATGTCTGTTATTGAGCAAAGTTTTACAAATTTATATTATTTGAAATGCACGTTTATCGATATGTTATATTGTACTTTAGAGATTACATACATACACATTTTTTTACCAATTTAAAAAATATCCTAAATATTTTCAATAAAATTTGATAAAATACATTTTAATGGCTGGTTCGGCTTTTTATTAAAATAATAATTAATGATCCATAATTAATTTTCACTATAAAATTTTATGGTGTTATTTGGTTTATGTATTTAACACAATATACTATACAGCCGAAATTTCAAGTCTAATTTTACATAAAAACGCATGCAAGTGCTCAATTAAAATGCAGGTGTTAAATAGAGATGCAGGTGTTCAATTAAAATGCAGGTGTTAAATAGAGATGCAGGTGCTCAATAGATATGCAGGTGCTCAATTAAAATGCAGGTGTTCAATAGAGATGCAGGTGTTCAATTAAAATACAGGTGTTCAATAGAGATGCAGGTGCTCAATTAAAATGCAGGTGTTCAATAGAGATGCAGGTGTTCATGCAAGTGCGCAATTAAAATGCAGGTGTTCAATAGAGATGCAGGTGTTCAGCAAGTGCGCAATTAAAATCAGGTGTTCAATAGAGATGCAGGTGCTCAATTAAAATGCAGGTGTTAATAGAGATGCAGGTGTTCATGCAAGTGCGCAATTAAAATGCAGGTGGTCAATAGAGATGCAGGTGTTCACGCAAATGCTCAATTAAAATGCAGGTGTTAAATTGAAACTCAGGTATATTGTGCAGGTGTTCCATTAAAATAAATGTGTCTTGCGTAAGTGTTTAATTAAAAATACAACAATTTCTATCTTCATAAGTAAATTTACCCGGCACATCCACCATTCAATGTAGGCACAATCATAATTTTATGACTTATTATGCTTACAATATTGCAATAACCCGTACTGTTTGAAACCGAACTAATTGAGAACTTTAAACCTCATAAACAAATAACCAGCACAAAAAGAGACTTGATTGTACATTGATATTGTATTTTTATTTTGCTCAATTAAAATTTACTTTGTTTTGAAATAGTCAATCCGTACTACAGTGAAACAAAGTCGCACTATTCGAGGTATTTCTGTGTACACCAGTGTTCGATGATTGTTTTGCTGTACGTGCAGAAATTGTTAAATTCGTTACAAACAAGGTTGGTGAATTAAACGCGAGTGCCCGTGTTCCTTAAATGCACACCAGTAAACAAAGCTTATATGTGCTTCGGATTAGGTGCATTGATTTCGTTGTATGCTTAATAGAAATATTATGTAAGCTCGGTTCGTGGCAACTCGAAAATCCGATTTGGAATCGCATGCAGCTGGATGTATAATATAAAACGAGCGGCCCTTTTTAAGTTTATCGATCGCCCTCAGCTTGTGAGTTTCATAAATAAATACAAATCACGTCATCAACTGCGAGAGTTCAAACTACGGACCTTTTTCTGTATCTAATTGATTTGCGTGATTAATTTATTGTGATATAAATGGCTGGAGACGTTTCCAGTCTGGTTGACCCATTGTTTATTAGCGATCGGAAATTCGCTCTGGATGAATGTATATGTGTTTATGCTTTCGGGTCGGAAACCAGAGGATCTCCCAAAACTTTATCCTTTCGATTCAAACGAAGACCCGGTGACGTGCAATTGTTTGCGCTATAGAAACCGGAGAGCTTTCCCATCTCAGAGAGCACTACGATATTGACTCGGAACATCATTGCCACAACCTGAAGGTCCGAAAGCCATCAATAATTCCGTATGCAGGAGACCGAATATCTCCAAAAGAATTATTTGACATGCAAGAGACAACTTTATACTGCTTTCTTTACTTCTATTATTGATTTACCAGTAACGGAATAGTAACAAAAAAAAAGAAAAAAACTTTACGACAATCGAATTTTTCACGCTATTATTATCCTCTTTCTTTATCTTCCAGGCGAGAATTTATTTTATAACTTTACTTTTTCTCTTCCTTTTGTCATGCAAAGAACTGGAAAACAACAAAGGCTCTTAGATTATAGAAAAGGAAATTGGTTTTGTCCCAAAGTCCTGCCCGTTTGCTTTGAGAGAATTTGAAACCCGCAAACGGTGTTTAAAGCTAAAACAAAGAAGTGAATGTTTGATATATACATACGCTCTTTTTTTTTTATTGTTCAAAGAATTTCAGCAGTTTTCATTTTATTTCTGTCATTTCTTAATATTTGTTTTTAATTCAAATAATCTTGGGTTTATTTTCGCTAAGAGCAATTCGCAACTTCGATAAAAAGTACATTAATTAACAGTTCAATAATCCTAAAGGACTTATCGCGGTTTCAAGTAGATACAGAGTTGAGAACTTCTATAAATCTCTTAATTGTTTTCTTCCCTTTTGAGAGAAAGTCTTGCTGATGGAATTGAAATTGGGATTAAATTGGGATTAAATTGCTATTCCAGTGGAATCGTGGTAATATATCAATTAAGCAGAATTGAAATTAATGTTGGCATGATCATCTATATGACGTTATAGATTTAGATCATTTTAGTTGTAATAGTCATCAAAATATATTAAAATATATGTTTAGGTGGGTCAACATTGACCTCTGTATCTTCTTGATACTGACTGACGCTTTGTCATTTTAAGGATTAGCAAAATATTCATATCAGAGTCTATCAGGCGCCACGCGAGTAATGGTGTTATAATATTTTACATAACCATTTTTAAAAAATAATTATTTACGTTTTTTATTGGAGCTTGTGAGACACCACGCGAGTAATGATGCTACGAAAGGTCGCACGTGTAATGAAGTGTTAAAACATATTTTTATTAGAAAATCACATAAATGCTTTTGTCCTTTAATAATATTAATATCTAATTCGGACGATTTTATTATAATTACAAAGGAAAATAATCTAAATCTTATAAAACATATATAAAAATGTTCTTTTTACTTTATTTAAAAAACAGTAAAACTACAGTATATTGCGTTTCAGTAAAAGAAAACGAAAAGTAGGTATTTTATATAACGATAATAAAAGAAGTGTATTTTTTGTTGCCAGAAAAATTGACGTGAATAGAAAAGGTAGTAAATTCCCGCTTTGATCATTATTTTTTTACTTCAGTACTTCAACTGAATCTCCCAACTAAATCTATAGCGGAAATGCTTTTGAAACTTCCCCCTATTCTCGATCAACACTAGGCGATTCGTCATTCAATACAAATTCTATAACATCCAGATAGGCACATGGCTATAATTTGACTTTTTTGATATTTATATAAATGCTTTTAAGTGACTTTATTGTGACTATGTTTTGTATCTCACGGATTTTCGGAAGATTTTTACAATTTAAAACTTGAAAACTATAGTATATTCAATGTATAATTTTAATTAGATATTTGGCCACAGGAGCAGAAATAAATTGATAATTGATTTTCAGTGAAAAAAATAGAAAACTTCATTTCTAGTACAATATAATGAAAACGAAGAGAAAATTAAAAGTATTCCTGCCTGAAAAATGTAAGTTTTTTTACGAAACTGTAGATTTTAAATAATTATTTAAATTATACTGTACGTACGTCTTTTATAAAAATATTTTAAAATAGAAATTATGTTATTTTATAACTCTATAAGTTAAGCTTTAATAACTATATTATATATATATATATAAAAAAACGATAAATTCGTAGCAGAAATGTGGGTTGTTATGTAAATCCATTTCAATGATGCTATCAATCTGCGTGACGTTGTACGATACTCATAATGAAATGTAAATAGTTTTATCGCATGAGATAAAGCGAGTTTTCTACTAGTAAAATATACAAACTGTAATACATTTAAATCTTTGTGGTCCGAAATAAATCCAATAACATTGAAATTAATCTTAGTGTCTGATGTTTGAAATCTAGAGGGTTGTAATTAGATCGGACACAAGAAACCAGTAGAATATATTGATTCGGTCGAGGACCGCTGGCGACCACAAGTGTCTCTCTTCAGTGATCCTTTGGTGAATAGCAAAAAGCCCGGAGTTTGAACCCTCACAGCCCTAAGGAAATTTATCCATTCAGACGTGCGACCACTGAATAAAAAGAGAATATGGGGACATTGGTCATTCAAATAGCGATAGTGAAATGGAACTACAGGATTCTGGTAATGATTTGCAACCAAAGTAATTAAACAGTGAGTAATAAAGCAAGGGATGTTTTGGGTGAAAGGTAACAATGTTCGGCTTCCAGCGGGTTTCGATTTACAGTTTTCATTTAGAACTTTAGTTACTTTATGAAAGCAATAACAGTAGCGCAATGAACCGGAAATGGAAATATGGCACCCATTTCAATTTTCCCCCAGCAGATTCCCCAATCCAATCTTC